TCTTCAATGGAACGAGTAGACGTATAAATTTCGTGTGACTGAAATTAAATTTTCTTTTCTTTTGGGTTCACCTTGAGAACAAACCGGATTCAAATTTAGAGCACTCCTAACTAGAGTAAATTACAATGGGAGATGAAACACGTCAAACCACACCCATTTTCTTTATTTGTTCATGCCTTGGATGTAAAAAGATTGGATGTGACGGAAATTATTACGTATGTGGCAAAGTTTTAAAACAATTCCTAATTTAATTCCTTTGCCAGTGTCCTCATGCCGAAATAATATTGACCAGAATCTGGAATTTCTCGAGTCTCTTGGTGGAACAGCTAAAAAAACAAGTGCTTGTCTGCCCCACATTTTCACCCATTGGATTTTATTCCTCTTGATTTTATGTCCTGGTGCTACTTTACTAGACAGAGTTTTCTCTTAATTACATTGTTTGCTGTCAACTGCACTTAAATATCGCATTCCCCAAAGTTTGTCCCACTTTTGCTCCGAGTTGCACGACACCCGACGCAGAAACTCTACTGATACATATATGTATGTAAGGATTGCATAAGAGGAATCCTTAATTCACTTGCGCAAGTGAAAGTGTTTTGTGGAATGTTGTAATAATTGCTTTCATCTGTGGTATGAAATTCCATAGCATGTTTTGCAATCTTACTGCAGTTTATGCATGGTCAGCAAATGCGGGAGGATGAACTTTGGTCCTACATAACGCTTAGGAATACTTTTTATTCCATGAATTATTGATCAAGTTGTAACTGTCCCTATGAAATTTATGTGGACATCGCGTACAATGTGTAGGAGCTGAGCCTTATATTGTCTCAGATCACAGATGTACATATATATTCAGGCAAAAGAAAGAGAGAGGAGAGATTTTGTAGAGGAGATGCTGACAAATTCCGCTCTTTTCTTTAGCTTGACGTGAAAAGATTTTTTGTGTAGTTTTGGTCGGTTGTTGGTCGGTGACTCTGCTATGCTGCTGCATATACACGCATACAGTTCGTTCTGTGCTGCTGTCTCTTTCTGTGAGTTGGTAGAAAAGGGCAAAAGGGTTATAAAAGTATCACAGATTTACAGATTGAGATACATTCCATCCACCACCACCACAAGGCAAAAAGTGTCCTTCGCTCGGTTTGTGCCAAGTTTAGTGGCTGAGAAAAGTAAAAGATTGGTTTAGCCAACTTCAGTCCCATTGTCGGGCTCACATTTCAGATCGGAAGTCTCACAAAAAGTTTCTATGATGCGTCTTTTTAGTTTATCAGGACTTGAATAGTACAAGTTATACATTTTTCTTCAAGAATGCGATTCTCGTGTGTATGCTCTAGATTATTTTCTAAACTTGTATTTGATAAAGATGTTTTGCTGTCAGTATTTCAGATGAAATCAAACATAACCTTTATTTACTTTTAATTGATGACTGTACCCGTCAAAGAGGAAAAAATCACATTTACTTGTCATGTCAGTTGTCAGAGGGCTGCTATACTCCGTCCACGTTCTTAGTGACAAACAGCGAACCCAATGTCTCAACTACGGGCAAGCACAACGCGTGGTTCTAGTTTTTGTGGAACAATTGCTTTAAAATGCTTAAAATGCGGAATACATAATGCAAACGCAATAAGGAACTTGATCATCTGTCCACAATTCCAAGATATGAATTTCTTGTGACGCGCTCACATAAGTAGTCTTTCAAAACGATGCACCACTTAATAAGCAGCTTACACATATATTTTCAACGGGTTATAATAACAAGAAGCAGGGATATTATTGCGTGATTAAATTAAAAACTTGATCATTTTTCATTCCTGATATCCAACCTAAGCTTTAGGTCCGTCCACTCATTTGATGATCAATGATTGAAATCTAGAGAAAACGAGAAAGTTAACGTCATCTTGTTGAGGATCAGGTCAGGTTGTTACCTTGCCTGGCAGGATTATGTGATATGATTAAGTTTGAAGGGTTGTGTGTGGTTGCCAGTCTGCATGTTCCTGTCCAAAGTTAAGGTGGAGAAGAAGAACCAGTCTTTGACTTCCTTTACTCGGTGAATTTTCATTCCCATATCAAAATCGAACCCTTTCCACTGGACCAGAATCATGGCGAGATTCTGGCCGGCGACAGAACGGCATTGAGATTATTGCATTCAATTATTTTGGTTTGGTTGGGTTGAAATTTTCCATGCTATTCGAGTCTGTATACACAACGTGGCGATGCCCAGATCTTTTGGGATCTATTTCGAGAAGAGGATAAAAAAAGAGTTTTCTTATTATTAGTGCACACACCACTTCAAAATAATACACTTTGAATTCAATCTTAAAAACAAGCCATCCGTCATTCTATCATTCATCCTGCAGTCAGGTTGTTTATCTCCTCCATTCTTCTCCAGCAGAGCCTGAGATGTTACCACCACAATTTTTATCTTGAACTTCAAATAATCAAATGAAAGGCAATAACCATTCTGAAGGAGATAATTTCATCTCTCGCTCTTGTCCCATCAGTCCGAGTCCACTCAACTTGTCTGCATTTAAGCCAACTGGCGTGGTTCAAGAGTTTGTTTCCCCAGTTTGTTGAGGAACAATATGTAATAAGGCAGTAAATGGTACATACAATTGCATTACAGCACGATTTGTACACACACAAACTTTCAGCAGAGATGTTCAGGACCTACTTATATGTATTTTTATGAGATGTGTAAGCAAGCATAACTGTCTAGAAAGTAAGTTGTGGACAAATAAATAGCGATACACAAATTTTGTGAACTAAATTTTTCAGGTAGATTTTAAATGTGTTTACCAGAGAAATTTTTGGTAAATGGGTTTTAGTCAGTTTGTTAGTTGTTTAGCCAAGCCTACGAAATAAGTATTTAGGAGGAGACCAACTGCTGGAAGATCATTCTTGTGTTCGAGTAAGAAGTAAAATTTATAAGTCATTCAATTAAGGTGTACAATTTCTGTCCGTCGTATTGCTCTCTTCCATTTATTGATATGCACGAGTGCAAGAGACTTATAAGGTGGGGTTAATTGGACGTAATGCAGCATGTTGAAAACTTCCAGAATAACTACATCGTCGTCCCACAGAGACAGAAGTTTAAACTCTTGTTTCGTATGTAGAGATCAACAAACTAGGGGTAATCTCGAGCTTGACTTCCACATCAGTCACACATGAAATATGCATATCTACTTGGATAAGCCCTGGCATTAGTGAGCACAAGCTCCTTAAAAACTGTCGTACGATAAAGAGTCTGTTGCAAAATTCAATGAAATTTCGGATATTCCCGAGTATCTGAGAATAAGTGCTTATCTGGCATGGGTTTGACCAGCGGCGTTCTTTTGAGAACATGACCAAAACACAGGACCAACAATTATTTTCCTTGTTAGTCCTATGTTTTTTAAAATTTCTACCACTATGCAGCCACTTATTCATTTTCATAGTGAAGAAAATATGACAAAACAATACAATCTAAATTACCTTTTGTTTATCTATTGGACACATTCACTTGGAAGGGAATTATGCGGTTTTAGTGTAACATTACAGGCTTAAAAGTACAAATAAGGCACTGCCTTAAATCTTTCCGATCCTTTGTGCTATTAGTTTTGTCTGGATGACCACACCATGCATATTTAATTTTCCTGCTCATTGAGCTCTGGGTGGTCATTTCGAATGGCACACAAATCCCCATCATTAATTTTTGAAGAGCAAATTATGGTTGTTTTGAATTCATATGAGCTCTCCAGTTACTGTTTATCTAGATTAAGGGAAAACTCAAACGTGTATGATTAATTCGCTGTAATTACACATCAGCATAAAAGCCTCTCTTTATTATTATTTGTTTAGATTTGGACTTTCTCTGTCTGGTTTACTGATACCTTAAAACTATATAAATTACTGATATTCAATATTCTGTGGGCTGCACACTATTGCATCCAATGTTTTCTTGGTTACAACAGGAATGCAGTACTATGCACATGGCTAAATTGATACTCAACACTAAACATAAATGAGAAACTAATGCATCCAAGCAGAATTATTGTCTGGTTTCAATTTTGTACTCGAATAAACCTTAGGCGAAGGTTGGCGTTGTTTGTTCGACTCTGAAACTTGATACAATTCGGATGATCTAAATTTTGATATCCATTTCACTCAGTACCAGAACAATAAAAATTGTGCAGTCTCATTCCTTCTAATTTCATTTTATGTGATGGAACTCGACATGTATGTAGCTGGCGACTCGTATTTACATTATACCAACACTTGTACATTTGAAATGAAGGTTTTGGAAAACACTGCTGCGTATATATAGCAGAAGTCGACTAACCGTCGTCTTGAGTGTTGATAGCAAATGTCTGCACCGACCGATCATATTCGTCCAATTATCACCTGCAGTGAGAGGAAGAGAGACGCACATCAGTTTACATGCTTGTCATTACGAAGGATAGACGATGATGATAACCCTGCCCCGAATAAAGTTCCATTTATGCCACACCAACATCCACTTTTGCATAAGAAATTTTTTTTTTGCAACTTGACTACATTTCATGCATTTTAACTACTTATCTCGCGCTGCCAATACAATGACGTTTTTCGGCTGCACCTCTTGACTTGCTGTACACAGCTCCAGTGCTCCTTACTTATTAGCATGAAGTTAGTTGCCTATTTTGAATTAAATTAGGACACGGTCCAAGTTTTATCTACTACCCATTTCCTTCGTAATTGACTCCAAATTTGTTTCTGATCTGATAATGAAACCCTTAACTGAGGTTAAGTGTATATGTAGGAATATAATTAAGACTATAATAATTCAGAAATTTAGCTCCAAATCGAGAAAAACAGAACATTCTTGAATGCAAATTATGTAATGATGACATTAATTTGGCACATTAGATTAAATTCAGAGCAGTTTCTCAAGCGAAAAATGCCTCCATGTGCATGTACTTACACATTTACATACATGCACCTTCTAAAGTTGATTTTACTAAATTGTACTTTTTACTATTTTTCAGGATACTCGTTGGTGCACCTTTAGGCCAAAATCTGCAGCAGGGTACCAACCGTTCCGGAGCATTGTTCAAATGTCCACTGTCCGGATATGAGGAGGACTGCGAACAAGTAGTCACTGATGGGAAACGAGGTAAAGCTTTTGAAAATGGAGCAATCTTGGTTGGGACATTTTAGCACGACGATAAGGATTAGTAGCAATATGTAGAAGGATGCAGTATTTAATATTACGTCATAATTGACACTTCAGACAAGATATTACGAATATTTATGTATGTAGATATCACTGAAGAGTAAAAATAATGGGATTTTTAATGTGAAACTTTGCTTTAATGTGAAACTTTACCACATGACAGTAAGTGCCGGACGTCCTGTGCTACTCATCCTCTAATACGATTCAATAATACCAGACACCTTGTAGATGCATATATTATTCGAGTATACGTACTATTTATGCAGCGAATGTAGTCGTGCAGGGAACACCCTTAGATAACAAGCAAAATTTGAAAATGTGTACTTTTAATTTAATGAATGGGAAGAGTTTCCGACTCACGACTTTATTTTAGGAAGGATGCTTTCTTGTAGGCAATTTATGGAGGGAAAATAAGTGAAGTTTATCTATTTACAACTAGACACATATTTACTGAAAGTATGTATCTCTGTACTTTTACCCTTTAACAGCCTTTTTAACCTTACTGATGCTGATAGCAAATCCTTCTGCATTTTCTTTTTGGAGTCTCCATTCGAAGCATATGTACATATGCACACACGCACTTTGTGGTAACGAATTCTCGGAGGAAGGAACAAGGAAATCTCATTTTTAGAAAGAACCAAATCGCAAACAAAAGAAGTTCAACAGAGGAAGTCGGCTATTAGAGTTAATTGGTGTTAATCACATACACTCAACGAGCATCTAACGCTCCGAGAGAACGGATTGATGAACATGGGCGATAACAATAATGTTGATTTAATGACTTCATGTAGCATATCACGCGATAAGAAGTAATCACCTCCGCTGATTTTACATACTCCTCTCTTCTGTATAAACAATTAAGACATTTAATTTAGTAGACTAACTTTTAATTGTAATTATTCCCTATCCATATAGATCCTACCAACGGGTATTATGAACCGCGTAAGTTGCTTTTCCTCGAAAAGGGTAACACTACATTATTTTTGCGTGTGCCTGTTTGCATTTTTGAATTTTCAACTTTTTTGATTTTTGCACTTTTTTTACACGACTTGATCATCCGTTATCCACTTTGTTAGTGTTTGTTGTCTTTCACTTTTCATGTTTTGTTGAAATGTTTTATAGTGTGAGTCACCACTTCTTCTTTCGCTGTCATTTCGTGGCGTAGTATAATATTTAAGAGCGTTGTTGGAAGTTGAAATGCGGGTGTATTTAAGCATTTATTATAAGTTGTATTTATTAGAAGTGATTGGCCTTTTCGGTTTGAAGTTGCTGCATTTATTTTTTTGGACGTATTTAGTATGCATTTGGCGATGATGCGAATTATGTATGTAATTTGTCATACAAGACGGACCGACCTTTTGCTTGGCGATTCATTCTTTATGACATTTTGGAGGAACGTTTTTTTGGTGATGGTGGGTGGTTGGCTGGGTGGGTGGAAGGATTGGTTGACTGGTAGGCTTTGAACTTTTGAAACTGCTCGAAGTACTGCTGGAATTTAAAATTTATGAATTTCTCATGTTTATTTTTGAGAAACTGAAAATTATGACGAGGCTTGTTTTTGAAACGGTAGTTTTGCATACACAGCTTTGCACTTAATTTGCGGGACAAAATTAATTAGAGCGATGGGATGCTTTTATAATGTAAATGCTGTAATGGTTTCGGGAACAATATTACTGATTTTTTGGGGAATGTATCTGAACAGCTTTTAACGCTTCTATCTTGGTAAACATTCGATTTTTTGACTTCTGAAATTTTGAGCTTTAATTTTGCTTTTCTTTTTGACCTCATAAAATACAACTTCACTTTCACCTACACTAATTGTTAATCCTTCTCATTACCTGTGCATGCAATCAAGCTTCACATATATTTTATGAATTTATGTTTTTGATTTTTGAAATGTTGAATAATTTTTATTGCATTGCATTTATGTTTTGACAGTTTTTAAAACTGTAACTAACACACGTTTGTGTGACACCAAAATTTTACTCAATTTTTGAAAAGTTTTGGTCTATTTTTTTCTCTGTGACAATTTTGTTTTTCAGGCTTATTTTGCTTATATTGATAAGTTTTAGATGATTAATATAATCTGAGAAAACTGAGCTTATAGCTTTATCCAGTGCTAATTTTATTGTATGTTTTTTGCACCAAATATTCGTATATTCAATTATTGTGCTTTAATGTTGGTTAGTACATCCTTAGAAATTTATTTTCTGACGAGTTTTTTAAAGAAAATACGTAACAACATATTTTTGGTAGTCTATATTTTTAGCACCATTTTTTTAAGTAGAATAATCCTCTTAAATACATTTTTTGAATATCTTTATCATTAAAGCTTTCCATTTGAGGAAGAAATAACGCAACGTAAAGTCATGTCTAACAAATGTACAAATGATATTTATTACATACGCGTGTGATATATTTGACCGAGTGCAGTACCAAATTTAACTGCATCACGGAGCTGATAATACGGTTAGTGACGGGATGGCAGGCCGATTGTCAATTGTCTTGCTAAACCGAACCAACGACAAGGCACTCGGTGTCACAGAGAACAATGGATAATTGACAAGTGCAAAGTAATAAAATAAATCACACGAGATCTCACATCACGCTTCTGGACTCACCTGACACTGACAATGCGAGAAGAAAAAACTATTTACCTTTGAGACTAATTTGATCGATGTGGCGATGCAATGCCAATTGGGTTTGGATTTTTGATTTAAATTACACACCTATTAGTCCGCAATTTGACATGGCATTATGTGTGCTAATTATGTGTAAAGTCCATTTCAAATTGGAAATGATGTATCGTTCTATTGCAACATATACATGGTTTTATTGGCCATTTTATTTTACAAGTTTATCTTATTCTGGAATTAGAAAAGTTGCTGTGTGGATATATTTACTTCAGAAGCGGAATTACTGTGTTCATGCGATGGATCATTTCTTCATGGTTATTGGAGTTGGCATCGAAATCGCAGTCAGAGCATGCAATTGAGAAGGGTTGTTGTTGCATCTTGGTTATTTTCCTTCATATTAGAAGCTTATTTGTCCAAGGAACCAGTGCTAAGCAAACTGTGTGAAGAGGAGAAGCAAAAAGTCTGACGTTCAGGAATAAAAAGTATTTTTGACAGATCGTTTGTTGACTTTTTGTCTGCATTTGATGTCTCTGACTTGGAGCAATTTCATGACTTTGACTGGAGAGCGTAAACTACAAGAAGTTTGTGAAGGAGGGAGCAAACATAAGCAAGGTAGGCGATGAGACGAGACGCGACATGATTTTAGGTACGTTAGCTCCACACGAAATTGCCGAACATTCCATTACCAATCAGTCATATGAATTTTCTCGACATATCAACGTCCACTATTTTATATGGTGGACTTGGAAATCCAGACTCGGAAAGTAATTCTTTGACTTGTCGAGTCTTACTTCATCCTTTTCGTGTGTCGCGGATGGATTTTGATCTTGACGAGTTTTGTTAGTTTCCTTCTTCAGACAAAGAATTTTGCGTGGAGTGGATTAGGATTCCGACACTGATTGTACATACAGATAATGCAAACTTTAGATACCCAAGTAAGCATATCGTTATTCTCTATGATTGGTCATTACAAGTACAACGGCTTGATATGCAAATATATTGCAATTAATTTTCACTTATCCAATCATTCCAGCGCTTTTGGTACGAGGCGTTAATTAAATAATTTAAGCAATCGAGAGAATCGATGTATTCGCGTAAGTGCGAAAAATTAAGAAAAAACTCAACGGCCAGAAGCGTACAAAAATATCATTTATCTCACAATTATACGCGACAAAATTTTCGCCCAGCACATTTATGGAACGACTAACCTACTGGATTTACCGCAATATTATTCCTGAAATTTTTTCGACCTGCTACAAATATTTTCAAATAATGCGTGGAGATATATGACAGAATATTCAGTCATCGAGTAGACATCGTGTCAGTCAACAAAGCCGATAACTGATAATACATCAAGAGAGAACCAGGGGCATTCTTCTTTCCTTCCACGAAATCAGAGGAATACTATCTCTAATCTCTCTCCAAGTTAGTCCGTCTTCCAGTTTAAGGTCGAGACATTTATTTTATTGCCTCATTTTTTCGTCACTTCTTTCCTCAGTTTCAACTCGTAATCTAAAAGCTAACTGTGTGCTCTGCTAAATGTTTATATATCTACTTCAAACAGCCCGACATGGTCAATTAAGTTATATGTTACACAGGCTGGAGATGATGCTGGCTTAAACAAGTATGTACATAGAAGCAGCAGCGGTTAATCACTTGATGTCTGTGATATTGATGCCGTGACAGCGACAATGTATTGAAGAACTGGTGTTGGTTGATATCCATTCATTTACATTTACTTTTAGAAGAGCGACAACTTGTTTATTTTAAATATGCCGGCTGTTCTATCAAATAATTAGATTTTAAATATACAAGGAAGAAGTGTAAATGTCCTTCTTTGTCCATTTTTAGAGCATGATACTCTCTGTCGCCTTAGTTAGACTCGTCCTCAGTTTAATGTTTTTTAACAAAAAATTGGATACTATTGATTACAAATTCTTTAGAGTTTATTTGCTAAATTCAATATATCAACGGTACAAAATATCAGTACCTATGCTGTGATTTTACTGCCCTAAAAATATCTTTTTAGCTCACGAGACAGCATAATCTCAAGTTTAGATTATCCAAAGGTAGATACGTAAGCGATTTCTTGCAAGCTTTCCGTTACACGATACGAGTCATTACTGATTGACTAATACTTCAAGCTGACAATTCACGGCTTTTGCCTTTGAGCGTGAAAGTGGTCAGAGAGCAGTATTCGCAGTGGATGATGAAGCGTGTCAAATGGTTGGTGATCAGGCAGGGGCAAACAACGCAGCTTTGCACTCCTCAGTCATCCGAGGAGTCCAATAAAGAAAAGTGTACAAGAACTAAGGAAATTCTCGACGTTCGCAATCAGAGAATATGACAGATACCTAATTATTGTTTATGGCTGCCCATCTCCATAATAAGAGGCATCATTTTCCTGGAGGATACGCCATATACGTACATTTGTACGTACTTATACATACACACGTCCGATATCAAGCGCAGAAATTTATTTGTTTATGGCCAACAACGACGTTAGCCAATGTGTCAGATTGATGATTGATTTTTTTCATTAGTGACTGACTGCTATTCACAGATCAGAATTCCCTCATCAATCTGAACTTACAATGAGTATGCGAAGTAGTAAATATCAATATGTCTAAAGCAAATGTCGAATTATAGTACTTTCTTTAGCCTCATTATGTGCCGAGGTCCGTAAAAATTAGGCAAAAAAAATATATTAAGACAGCTGCGTTTTTTTTGTTTTCATAATGAGAACTTGTTTTATTTATTAAATTGGCAACTGTCCCTTGTTGACAAGTTCTACTTTCGATTCTCGTTTCAACTAAAGTCCATTACGTGACGACTCTGCAGGATGAAAAGAAACAAATAATTTAAACCAAGTGGATTTGCACATGTTGCAAATATTTCACACTTTTAGTTTCTTCGGTACACGCAACCTCATCCATTGCTGGGTCATACTGCTTCCGTCCACCATTCGACTTGGATAGAATGGAGGGAGAGATTTCTGCAGGATACAAATAACAAGCTTTAGTGTTTATTTTCCGTATGTGTCATGGCATAAATGCAGTTTTATGCAATAAATGCGGTGCCAAAACTATGCTCGCCCCAGTTCCATGTGTCCCATGCTCTGGATTTCCATCGCTTCATACTCTAGTTTCAGTCCCATTTTTAACTCTAATTTGCCAACCCAATTATGTATTTATATCCGTAAACGATAATTACATATGTAATTGGCACTTGATGGTAAATGACATATTTCCACCGTGGGTTACCAAGTACAACTACATGGATTTCCATGCGGGTAATAGTTTATCAATTGATAATACCATCGCAGAAATTATAAATAGCAAAACTAAATACACAAGTTTGAATGATTGATGAGTTACAATTACAATGGTATTTAAATACACTTATTCTCTGCCTAAAAACGCGAATCAACCAAGATCAGTTTACAACTTTTTCAGACTAGACGAGCATGTACGGAGACAATAAAACCACGCAAAATCGTCCATGCACTTGTAAAGTGTTCCAATTTTCTGTTAAAAAGACAGAGATAAAGAAGCCGTTTACTTTTACCCTCTCTGAATTTTTCTGAGTCAAAGTTAGTGGTTGATGAAGTGGAACAAATGACGGGGAAAAATCTGGCTGAGATCCATTTTTATATACGTTAGAGAAGACCAACGCAAACTAAAAGCATTTCTCATTCACTCCAACCAACTCTCTTTCTGAGTGACTCTTGTGATTCACGAGTTCGATGATCATGAATCACACACCATCGCAAAGTAGATGGTGTAGATGTGTGCAAGAATATGAGGAAAATGTTTGATCTGTAAATGGGAAATATCGATTGTAGATTGAATTTCGATTTTCCCAAAAATGTCACAAAAAAACTTTTGTTGCCAGAATTCTTGACGTTTCTTGACGCTTACATACATTGAGCTACAAAATTTATATATACGCCACGAACAACCGGAAGCGATTGTTTGAATAATAACATACTCACACTCACTTAATAACAACAAAAATTACTTATTTACTCAATAACAGCACGCACTAATGTAATTTATTTATATGTTTAAGTTTCCAATTTATTTTTGCACTTTGTGCAACTGTCTTGTTACCTCTGGATTTGATATGTGTCAGTAAAAAAGCAATATATATATCGATTATCACGCGCATGCACTAGCAAAAAAATCAACAGCAAACTGACCTGCAACCGCTGCGAATGAATTTGCAAATGTCTGTCACAAAGTCAACTTTATTTATATTTTAGTGTTGCATTTTGTCCGTCTTTGAAGCCGAATATCTGTAATTTGAGTTTCATTCAGGTAAATAATCGACACACCACGTTACACAAGTTTGTCTCATTTTACGATGTGGATAATAAGACCAAAAAAAAATGTGTGTGGGCACCGTGTGTGAAAATGTAATGCAATAAAAATTATTATGCAAATGAAATGAAAACTGCTGATATTACTTATTACGCAATGCAATGCCAAAGAATGCGAATGTTTGCATTTTCTTGATTGAATTTGGTTGGATTGAATTTGGGTTTGGATTGCGATTGCAGTGAATTTAATTTACTTGCTTAAAAAGCGTGTAAAAGGTGCTAACTTTTCCTTGGGAATTATGTAGAGGTCGACTCATCGGATTTGTCACCCCCGTTGGACGATGAACTGAAGGATGGCCAATGGCTCGGTGTAAATGTCCGGAGTCAAGGGGGCAAAGGAAAGGTTGTGGTAAGTAAGCGAGTGAATAGGTTAAGTGGTAAATGTCCTCGTCATTCCGTTACTATGTTTTCCTCTTAAGTGGCGTTCATCTCATCATCATTCATGCATTCATTCATTCTTAAAGCTGTTTGACAAATCTGACGAATTGATTGAAATGTCAAAAAGTTGTGGGAACCCGTGAGCATAAGTTTTAGAGATGGCTGCTGGTGGCTCATCGTCTCTCTTCCTCCTTTCCTGATTAGCGTTAAATTCATGTTAAGAAACTGCAGTGTAACCATTAAGAAAGGGAATTGAAATGAACGGTGGAGTAAAATATTTATGCAAATAGTCACATTCTTTCCTGCCTTTGAAGAGATTAACAGTTTTCTTGTTGCTTGTTTGATCGGTCAGCAAAAAGTGAAGGAAAACCATGTGAGAAGAAGGGTGAAGTGAAGAATGAATAAGCAGAATTATCCGAATAATCGTGCTCATAAACACCTCTTAGAAGCCAATTCATACCTCACACGTAAAGATGAGAAACATTTCTTCGTCTTGGAAATTTTATTAGAAACTTATTAAATAGAAGTTGAATATTTTAAGGGTTTCAGAATATATTTAGTCTGCATAAGTATAGAATACGATGTATCTCCCCTGTAATGATGGTGAGGTGAGTTTGGTCATTAGACTGCATATGTAGTACTATGTATGGTGTCCAGGAAAGGTGGAGGAGGAGACGAAATACGAGCCGAAATTTTCCTGATCATCGTGGGGCATGAAAAGCTACATGATTACGATTTAGCAGTGGGAAGTCTTTTTGAGATTTGATATTATTAGTTTATGATTGGAGACTCAAATAGAAATGGTTAGATTCCAGGTCGGATAGTACGCGTATGTATCCACTCATTGAAGGGGGATGCAAACCATCTCTTCAATTTGGGTGGATGGCCAAATGGTCTTGGTTGACCAAACACAAAGGAAGATGAATGAGTAAAAATTATGATTCCGGATTATGGAAATGAAAGGTGGTGGTTTGGTTTCGGTCCCAACAGCGACCATTTGCGATGGATATTATCCGATACCACGACCACTACTCGTGAATGGTAGTCCAGTCTAGTGAGATAGCTGAGGAAACTGTATGAGAACAAACAGATTGAGTGCGTCGGGTTAAGTTAACCACAATATATGCATATCCATCCATAAGGCGTGCTCTCAAGTATTCATCCACATTGACGCTGGGAGGTATCGGATAGCACACTTTTTGTGCGTACGGGTAACTCCCGATAAAACATGAACGCTTAAATACACATTATTTCCACATTACTGCGTTTCTGAAAGAGTTGTGTGGTAGAAAAAGTCAAGTGTTACATAATACAATGTTTTCCTTGGCAGATGTTACTTTTCAGCCAGCCACATTCAATTAGTGACAATCGAGCACCTTAGAACACGTTGTTACGACATGAATGAGCACCTTTGAGTACGTTGTATACATGTAATAATTAATATGGATGATTGTGCAGGGAATAAGGTTCGCTCGAAAATTATGGTTCTTATGGAATAAGGTCATATAAACAGGCAGGAGCATTAATGAACCACCCACAGCCCAAAGCACAAGTCTGCATCATCTACATACCTACCTTTGCGAGACGGAGTCGGACAGCCATAATTATTGACAATATCAATTATTGCGTATACAAGTACTCCTTAATGTGGCATAATGAATCACTTACGACCCTTTGTTCTTGGCACGTTGTATAACGCGTAAAGAACTGTTCATACTCGAAATAGGGCCCATTTACATAAGAAATTTGAGGAATTTAGCCTCGTAAAGTTGCAGGTGTCATGAAGCCAAGAAAAAGACGGAAATTCCACGAAGCAGCAGCAGTCGTAGATGTTTCAAATGTGGAGTATTATTTCATCCCGTGGCTGCGGTGGGAGCCGTAATGGTGGAAAAATCTTTATTATTTATTGCATCCCTAATTTGGTTATATGGTCAGCATGTCCGACGTAGGTTTCTTGGCTCGGCTCCGTGTCAAACTTGGTGTAAAACGAGTTACAAATAAATGTGGCAAGGGTGCAATATTACTTGTGGTGGTAGCATCAGAGGAACGCTATTACGAGTACGCCTTGAATGTTTCATAAATGTAATGACCAAACGACACGGGACGAGAGAAACAAAGAAATTTTATTGCCAGACAAGTGTAAAAGTTGCTGTCCGGTTGGGGAGAAAAGTGTCACATGCAACCTTAGAAGTAGACAAAACTGCTCATATCATATTTTCGTATCTTAATTTAGAACATTACCTCATTGCATCATCATCATTAAGTAAATAAATCATTAAAACAGCTCGAAAAAATTTTCCGTTTTTGACAGCAGATCATATTTCATGAATAAATATTTCTTCTTATTACTTGTTCTTGAAATTTTACTGAAATTATAAAATTCTACACAGGTTTGTGCACATCGGTATGTTCACCAAGGCCGAGATTTCCGATGGGGACTAGGTCTGTGTCATTTCCTCACCAAAGATCTCGAGTATGATCAAACATTGGAGCCCTGCCGGAACAAGCAGAGAAGGGCATTGGAGGACTACGGTTTCTGTCAAGCTGGTACTTCCGCCGACCTATTGGAGGACGATACCGCGTTATTGGGGGCCCCAGGTGCTTTCACGTGTCGTGGAATGGTCTACGGCATATCCGTGTCGGACGACTACCTCAACAAGGACCGGAATCATTACCACACGCCCGTCATGGACAACAGCACGGTGGACAAGTACAGCTATTTGGGGATGTCCGTGGCTGGGGCCCACTTTTTTGGAAACAACTGGACCTACGTTGCAGGGGCCCCGAAAGCAGCCATGGGATCGGGTCAAGTCATCTTCTTCACAAAGGTGCGTATATTACATAAATATGTTTGCATAAAACGCACAGCATGTTATTTATTTTTCAGATATTTGCAGGCAATGCTATTAAATCAAGGCGCCATTAAGTTTACTTGACATGACAGCTTTTTGACACGCTGATAAAAAAGATAACCCCACATATTTAATTCATATCCTGTCTGTCGCAGGAATAATGATTGGATTATGATTCACAAAAAAATCAATCACGTTTTCTTTTATTGCTCAAGCAAAGAGTTTCTTTGATCCTGCTTATCTCGTGGAGGACTAGATATCTTAAAAATATAATACACAATATGGACAGATGTGTCCATTACTTCATTTCAATTCTCCGACCATTCAATCGCCAAGTGTGCATATGTCTCTCTATTTTCCCAACACCACTTGAAGTGTCATTGTTTGTTTATGTTTCGTACGCATATCGCATAATATTAAACAATGAGTTCCACATGCAAGTTATTATGTTGTTGGCATGAATTTGACAATAATGGGCTGAGTGAGAAAATCATACGCTATCAGCACCACTGCCCAACCTTGATTTCACATGGAGGAAAAACAATTTCATCCTCCATCGTCGTCACCCATCAATTCATTTTTCCATCCGACAGATGTACTTGTTTACCTTTGCTCACACGAGATTAAATGGAGACCCACCTTGAAAAAATTCAATCAGGAAGAAAAAATCAAAGTGATTTTATGTGCACTCTTGTTGTCACTTTAAAATGAAAATCAATTTCTCTCAGTTTGCCTTATCATCAGACGTATACATGCTTTTTTTAAGCTTGAGCATTACTTTGTTAGCATAAGATGATGTAAGTACGTACGTACAAATATTCCCCCATCCAAGATTGTGCCCATTGAATTTCATTAATTTTTGTTATTCACGTGGACCCTAGAGGTTGAAGCAGCCGTCCTCCCCGTACCGTTACTACTGCACAAAAGTCATTAAATAAGACCCACATCATACATATTGTTGTCGTCTCACTTACATATTATTCTCCTCTCCTGTCAGATAGTTAATGCATGCAGTTATCTCGAGAAGACAAATCCTGGTGCTCAACTAAATAATATTAGATTCCAAATGGCTCATCAAGGTTGGGAAATTCTACTCCGACTGACCACCAAGCTTTATTTCTGTGTCAGAGTTGTCTGTCTGGCTGGACGAAACTAAATATTGAGAATTTTGAAATTTTGACTTGATTCTTTTCTTGTTCTTCGTGGGCAGGCGACAGCCCACAGGGAAATAATGGATGTAATGTGAGTTGCTCATTGTTCCCTCATTGTTGATGGGCTGCACGATAAAAGTCTGCCACACCAGCAAAGAAAATCACTTTGCATTTCGCTGATGATGGAGACAGTTCAGTTCATTTGACCGCACACAAGACCACAGAAAGGAAATGTGTGTGTGTGTATAAGGTACATCATAATGGTATGTTTGTAAATAATGGTAGGTAGGAAAAGAGGTGGTGAGCATTTGTTTTATCTGATTTTCATCTTCAATTGTTCTTCTTGCTCCAGTCTCGCTGCTTGTGTCATGTGAAGAGTCGGATGTGATATATTATTACATACATTGTGACGCTGATGGTGGTTAATGCACATAGTTCTTGAAGGAGTACAGCTCATCATATTATGCATCAAGTTAATGGGTGGACTTGTGTAAGAAAGCTGAAAGAGGGATGAAGATGGGGAGAATGAGAAAATTAGTGTTAAGCAAAATTTCCTAAAATGTATGTTTACTATTTTAATTCCAGAGCACTGATTCGCACATGCTGAAAGTGGAGGCTGAACTGACCGGGGAGGGTTTCGCATTCAGTTATGGGAATTCTTTAGCCGTTCTGGATGTCAATGGGGATGGGTAAGATTTTGTCCTTAGAGCGAATTTATGTACGATTGAGCAAGAAATTCTTTATCAATGAAAATGACTATGACAGGAAACCGGATTTGGTGGTCGGAGCCCCATTTTATGTGGACGAAAAAGACTCTGGAGGAGCGGCTTACGTGTACCTCAACAATCACGGATTCCGTAAAAACCACCCCTACGTGCGTCTCTCAGGTCCCAGAGAGTCCCGATTTGGAATCGCTCTGTCTACTTCTGGTGATCTGAATAAAGATGGATTCGAAGACTTGGCTGTCGGTGCCCCCTATGCGGACGAAGGATATGGTTCCGTATACATCTTTTTGGGGTCCAAGGATGGAATCATTAAGGATCCAACTCAGGTAATGCTCAACTCAACAGGTTCGTTGTCATAATTAAGAGCAACTATAGACATAAGTACATAGATTTTTTTTACTGTTGGTTTATTTTGTTTATCTATTTTCACGTTATTTATTTATTGTGTTTCAGATTATTAAAGCCTCGGAATCCTTCCCCCTCGTCCGAACGTTTGGTTACTCTTTAAGTGGCGGAGTTGATCTTGACCAGAATTCATATCCAGATCTCCTTGTTGGAGCGTTCGACACAGATGTCTCCATTTTGCTCAGAGCCAGACCCATCATTGACATTTACACCGAAGTTTTGGGAAATTTGACCAATATTGACCCAAATTCGCCTGGTTGCGCCGCAATGCCTAATGCTGATCAACCTTGGTAAGTAAGCACACCCAGAGCTCAACCTTCCTCACTTTCACAGAAATAAATTATCTGCATGAAAATGATTACATTTTTTTAGTCAGTGAGAGTAGTTGTCCTTTTTTTAAACACATGTAACTTGTACAAGTACAACTTTGTAATTGTTGCTTTTTACAAATCAAGAGGTCAGAGATCATGTTGTAGTAAATTAAGCTTTTTATACCCGACTGAAGAAAAACCGTTTTCCACGAACATTTTGTAACAGGAGGCTGAAGGGTGTTGGTTGGTTTTGTGGTAACAAATGTTGCAAAGCAAGATGAAGTCGCTGTACCCGTATTCTATTTTATCACCAGTTTAAGATTTCAAGATAACAAACATTTAACACGTTGAACCCCAGCCACTACTCGCTGTCTTGATTCTTCATCTCCCACATATTTACTATCATTTCACAAGTGTTTCTCATTTACAATTCGACTACTATTAGTAATTTGTTTTGTTTTTAAGTCTGCCCTTCCTTTCTTACTCCAACTCCTTGTTGTATGCACATTATTTCCTATTACATAAGTGGTAGTGTTAGTTAAGATGATCTCTCTGCTCTTGGGGATCTCAAACTCTTCGCGTCTTTTGTAAGTAATGATGTGAAGTGAGTGATTTAATGGTGGATTTTTTTGTTACAGTTTCGATCTGAAGGCATGTTTCGAAATCCGAGGGGTGACACAAGTGAGGGCTGCCTCCTTCCAAATCGAATACAAAATTGAAGCAGAGACGTTTCTGGAAGGGAAGAAGTTCTCACGCGTCATTTTCCAACGTGGTAACACCGACCGACCACAAGTTGTCAACCAAACCATCACCGTGAGACGAAGTGATGTCACGAATAGACATTGTTCTAATGAGATTGTCCTCCTCAGGGTGAGTACGAGCAGTTTTAAATAGATTTATAGGGAAGTTTTGATTGATTTGTTTGTACCTAATTTGAATAAATACTTGCTATTTTTTACAGGAAGGGACAAGAGACATCCAATCTCCCATTGCATTCAAGTTGACGTACACCTTAATGCAACGAGAGCCCGAGTACCATCCCAACTCCGGCGTCTTACCGAATATCCAAAATTATCCTATACTTAATCAGCAAGAAGCTTCCAAGATTATTTTAGCACATTTTGAAAAAGACTGCGGAGAAAATGATTTGTGTGAAAGTGATTTGTTTGTCAAAGCCTCAACGGATTTGGACACGGATAACGGAGGAAACTATCTCTTGGTACTGGGAAGAAATGAAGTCCTCGGTCTCAACATTTCAATGGGAAACTTTGGAGAACCTGCATACGAGGCAATGCTGTACATTTCTCACCCAAAATCTATGCCTTACATTGGGTTGATGGAAGATGTAATAAATTATAAATATTTAATAACTATGTAGACATACATTCCGTTGTGGATTTCAAGTGATTATTTTACATTCTTGTGTTTTTTATCGCAGCAACAAAAGAAGGGCCTCGGATGCACCCCGTTTAACGGCAGCTTAGTCATTTGCACCCTTGGCAATCCGTACAAACGTCAAGCCACAAATTTAGGAGACTTTCAAGTTATGGGGCTAAAATTTGACGCCAAAAACTTAAAAGACATTGAAACTAGACTGGATTTTCATGTGTGGGCTAATTCCACATCAATTGAGACGGACGATCAAAACGACGGAGTTCACCTCATTGTCACTGTAATTAAAATGGCAGAGCTTTCAATTCAAGGGTGAGTTGATCAGAGTTACTGAATATTTTTCTATTCCGTTAATACCAAAATTTAACAATATTTAATTTTTTAGGCGTGTTGAACCTGAAAAGTCTTTCTACGGAGGAACTATTGTGGGCGAGTCAGCCATCAAGTCCTTTGCTGAGATAGGCCCCAAAATCACACATTACTACGATATTTGGAATGCTGGGCCTTGGAAGGCATCCGTATTCAATGTGGACATCTGGTGGCCGCATCAAGTTGAAAATGGGAAATCACAAGGAAAGTGGTTATTATATCTTGAGCAACCCCCAGTTCTGGATGGGGATGGCCATTGCGTCCTACCCAGTAACGTCACCAATGTGCTTCACCTAAGAAATAAACGGGAAACTGAGACCGTTATTGCTCCGCAAAAGGAGCGTGATGTCAACGGAAAGATCCGAACCTTCGTGGAGATGGTACATATTTAAGATTCGTTTTAATATACATAAAAGTCATTGGCACACACTTTCCTTGATTAACTTATGTCCTTTATTTTTCTAGAACTGTGTCCGTGGTTCAGCAAAGTGCTTTAAAATAGAGTGTACTATTCGAAATCTGCTACCGTTGGAGTCTGCAGTCATTAAGATTCATTCAAGGTATGTGCTTATACATAAATTGGAATACTAGAAACTTTTGAGGATAATTTTGGATGGGAAATAAACTAAATCTTGTCTATAGATTATGGAACTCTACGTTGGTGGAGGATTATCCAACGGTGGACGAAGTAAGGATAAGGTCCCGTGCCGTGATCCGAATATCAGACGAAATCGAAATCCGGCAGGACCCGGGAAATGACGTCGCAATGGCGGTGGCAACATGTTATCCTGATCTCAAGCTGAAGGTGGAACTTGAAGGGATCGCGTGGTGGATTTATGCCGTTTCTATCCTAGCCGGCATAATTCTTCTCTCCCTTATCGTATACTGTCTTTATAGAACAGGATTTTTCAAAAGAAGACGACCCGTCCCCACCCACACTGCCAGTGTTTCTAGATCCTAGTATTAACTCGTTGTTCTAACTAGTTCATCTTCCTAAATAAGTAATTATTATTTAATTTTTTGACTATCGACATATTGACGTATGATAAATATCGCATTGTAAATTTAATGATGTAAAAAGTATAAGTTATTATTAATTAAATTATATAACGTGATATGTAAATATGTATATATTGCAACAGTGAACTTTATAATGAATACAATGAGAACCACTGAAATAATATGAAAAACTCAGTTTGTAACGTTTACAGCAAAAATTATTAAAACAAAAAACATGATGCATCAATAACTTTAATGAGCTGTGGGTCATTAATTGTTGCTGCAATTCTGCAATTCGTATGAATATGCATAAGTATTTATCAGACATCCGACAGTGAAAGAAGCAAAAATACAGTTATTTTTTTAAAAACCATAGTTAGCAAGTATTTATTAGTCCTTGTCTAATTCTTATAAAAGCGAATACAAAAATATCACAGAAATACAATTATTCAAAAATATTTCAATACTATTCTTAGACTACCATTTAACTAAGAATTACTGTAATTTCGTGTCACACATTTGAACTTGTGAAATTTGTACATGGCTTAAATTACAAAGTGGAATGTACATTTCTTGGAATGTATTTTTAAAGTTTGAAATACGAAACTGTTATGAATCTTGGGCATTTAACACTCTGAAGATTTCTGATTTGAAGAGAAACTGGCCAACTGAATGGACAATTTATTATTGCGAGTGGGAAAGTTTTTAGAACTTCGTTTCGTTATATTGGCATCATGATCTGGACCGTAGTCACAAATTATTGAGGACTCTTGAATCTTATCCAGTTTTTGTGTCGTCATTGTGGACACATTGTTGTTGTCAGTCATGAGAAAGCTGTTATCATTATTTTGGGAAACGTGATTGTCGCATGAAGTGGTTGTCGAGGCTAATATTTTTGACCCTTGAGTTTCGCAACTAACGCCGTTGGTTCGCGACGAGGCAAAATAAACGGCTGCGGCAGTTTGGGCTATCAAATCGTTTTGAGCTGGAAAAAAATTGAGACAAAATTAAAAATCATGCAAAAACTAAAAATATTATCATTCAATGTTTATAATTTTTTATGAAATAATTAGTCAGCCAATTCTATTCTACGCGTTAAATAAATAAAATCTACCTTCAGTGCTGGGGGAGTAACTTCCATACTGTGAGTCAGTTAATGACCGTCCATCACCTTCGTCCCTCTCTTTGGAAAAGTCACTGGGGGAACTTTTGGAGCTGGAAGTCGATGACCCACTCATCATGTTATTATTATCGTGTGAAAGTTCAGCAAGGTTCAGACTGATAGGCGAGATCTCTGCCGTAGTGACGAACGGGCCACTCCCGTTTTTTGGATGTGTTCTTCCTCCTCCGGCGCCGCCACCACCTTTCAACATCCGCTTGGACGTGATCCCTTTCCTTCCTGGGGTGGACGACGACGTTGAGTTGGGTGGGTTTCCTTCTGCTGCAGAATCGTCTGCCAATGAGAGCTGGTCAAATGAATCTTCAGCAGCACTCATGTTCCTAGCATCTGTGTCACTTTTGTTCCCACTTAAATTTTCAACAGGGCCTAGAGACCCCCAATTAGACAAAAGAAGTTTGGATAGCGAAGGAGCCAATCCGAGGCCAACGTTGCGTTCTTGATAAACATCGACCAGTGGGGTGGATTTCGTATGGTGCTCAGGAAAGTTAGTAATGGTGGAAGTTTGCTGGGTGGTGGGTGGCTGTTCCTTGTCCTTTTGAATGGAAAACGTACTTCTTGAAGCCAGCCAGGGTTTGGCTTCGGTGGATGTACTTTGTAATGCCTTGTTAGCATTGGCTGCAGCTATTTCATTCATTTTCCAAGTGACCCGTTTACCAGCCGTGGATGCGGAATTATTGGATGGAGTGGATTTGGCGTTATGCTGAATAAAGCGACCAGGTTTACGGACCGGTGGCATTGCGGGCATCATGGTTTGATTATCAGAGCCGGTTGAAGAATCGAACTGGGACACAGAATTATTCGCCATCATTCCACCCATGAAAAATGAGTCGGGGTGATTTTCTGGGATTGGGGGTGCTCGGCGTCGTACCGTTGTGAGACCATTTTCCCAGTCAGCCATGGAACTTCCGCTGCTAGTTGAACTATCTGTTCTTTCCACAGCGATGTTTTTATATGCTCTGTTGGCTGCGGTGGAAGAGTTTGTTGGATTTCTGAGGGCTGGAATTGGTGGTCTGCTGTTTCCGGAAGGAATTTTGGGTAGTTTAAGTTCACGAAGGGACCTTTGTTTAATATCTGTGCTGCTGATGTTGGTGTGACCATCGGGTTCTCCACGACTTCTAACGTAACTCGTAAAAGCTCCCTTTCCCATTACGATAGGTTGTCGAGCAGGCAGATAAGCAGGCCCTTGCATTGCGGTTTGAACATTAGGAATGTCACAAAGTTCTTCAGTTCCTAATTCTAAACTCTCGAGAGAAATGCTTCGCTCAAATGAACCTCCTTGAGAGTCGTGGACCTCATGAGTTTCTGTGGACAAATTATGAAACATGAGTTTAGGAAATTTTAAAATTCGACAAATTATAAAAATAAATTTCTTACCAAATAGTGCAAGTGCGGCTTGCAGTGCTAGCTGAAGCATTCTCATTGTGACATGTTTGCCAATACCGACGTTCACTTCGTGCTCACCAACTTCGATCAAGTCGAAGCCTACAATACAAAAAAATAAAAATTTAGAGCTGTACATAAAAATAGTATCAAAATATTTCCTATTTTTGTTTAATAAATAATTGTTAAGTTACCAAGAGAAGCTAAAAGTTCGTGACATCCGACAATTCCCCATAATTTGACATTGATCATCACTTCCAATTTTTCAACTTCCACGTTTTTTGTTGCCAATTCTGCAATGGCTTGGCGTAAGATTGAAATCACCTCTTCGGCAGCTTCAGGGGTAGAGAAAAGTTTTGAAAGAGCGTTCAACGATTGTGGCGACAAACCTATCAAACCGAACACATGCATCATTAGTTGTTACATATTAATAAATTTTCCAGAGATCAAGTTATTTTTTTTAAACTAAAGATGGCAAAATTACCAAGGATTGCTTGCAGATTGGCACTACATCTCGCCAGTTTTTCACTGAAAATCAAAATAGTATGTATATTTTCATCAAACAAAGAAAACCGAAGCGAGCAATGCAAAAAATGCAGCTTAATGACATAGTTCATAGCACTTTTTCATCAAAGGTCAATCAGACCACTCGCTTTTTTCTCTCGCTTTTTTCTCTCGCTTTTTTCTCACTCTTAAAATTCTAGCAAAAATAAATACTAAAGTAAAGTTGTAAACTAAAAAGTCACTTTTTTGCTCATTTTCCGAACTTTCTGTTTTAATTATTCATCATGTCGAACAACGACGGCCCCTCTACCTCGTCAACTACAAATCCACCCACCAAGCGACAGAAAATGACCATCAGCCAAACAGTTTTAGTTCCGGAGGTCGGCTCGAAAACTCTGCAGTTGTTTATTCAAACGGACGACGGAACATTTGTATCACTTGAGCGTAAGTTTTGCTCTACAAAATAATAATTTTTGTTAATAATGACATGTAATGTCGTACATAATGAATGATTTGCTTTTCAGAGTGCTCCCCTATTCGTGAAGAAACCGCTCCCACCAGATTCCAGTGGGCAGCAACATCAGAATTTTGCAATGAGAAATGGACAGCTCCAGGTAAAAATACTAAACTGGAAGCTATTTTAAACGCTGTGAAAGCTCAGCTCTTATGGACCGGAGAAGATAAGGACATGAAACGTTCTCCCCAAATGAAAACGTATACATAAGTTGTACAATATTTATAACAAATTACATGTATTGAATTATGAGATTGAGACTAAATATTAGATTATTATGTGAATAGGTTGTTGAAGTCTGGAAGAAGGTTGACTGTCAATTTCAAAGACAATGAGGATCAAGTCACTTTAAAAGACGGACGGATCTTGTACAACAACAACAAATCTTCGATTTGTAAGGACGAGTTCTGCTGGAAAGCGAGCCAGGTTGGTCATCATTGTAGTGAACATGGGGAAGGGAACAAGACGCACTTTCTCATCAGGGATTCAGCCAACCCGACACCCACTTTTGCATTGTTGAGCCCTATTGACGTCCACTCCCCAAAGACGACCATCACTCTCAATGATATGCTGAAGAAGACGAAGGTTGACACTCAATTTCTGGTTTTCACTAAATACAATGACAAGCTACCCAAGACCAATGAAGCAGGGGAGACTATTCCATTTTGGGTATTGGTCACGCCTCGTCCGTGGGTGACCAACGGACAGAAAAAGTCGAATGAGTTTGCAGAAAGTCTCCGCCTTGCCATATCCATCACATTCTCACTCATCAACTCGCAGCAGCCTGACCCCAAGAAGCATTACATTTTGTTGGCTGATCAAGTCTACATGCGGTATGCTAACTGGGCGCTGGTGAAAGATTTGTTGACCTCGTTTGGGGTGGGAGCAGAGTTCATTGGGGACTCTGAACTTGGAACGGGGGATAAGTCTCCACTGATGGATGGACTTCGTTTAGATCGGTGCGAAGGCAAATCATGGATCTATGCAAAAATGGGTACAATCGGAAGAATTCATGTTGGTAAATAACTATTATATTTGTAATTATAATATATGCATATCGTAATTCGACATCTAAATTTACTACTTTATACATATTTAGGTATCAGGACTCAGAAAAAAAGATCAGCAGATTCGAAAAACATTGCAAATTATCACAAGACTGACCTGGATGGACCCGTACTCTTTCAGTGTCAAGACAAGACTTTGGACATGAAGAAGGAGAACGAGATCATGGAGTGGGTTGGCCAAGTTGCGATCTGCATTTGCGAAATGTTGAAGGGGGAGGTGGATGGAGGACAAATTCATTGCGATTTTCAGAAGATTGAGAACAAGTCTGCGTGGGAACCCCGACATGTTGAAATGTTAATTAAGTTGATTGGATTTTTTTGTGGAAAAATTGTAAAGATTGTTATTCCAGAGAGTATTAATTTTAGTATTGTCAATTTGAAACCTGCATATGATTTTCTTCGACCCAATTTGTTCAATTAGTATGGCGAGATTTTTTTTGTATTGATTTGATTGAATATGAATTAACTAATAATTGAATTTTTTTTACTGTTATTAATAAAATTTTCTTTCAGAAAAAAATATGTCAATCACAGATTGTTGTTATTATTGAACCTAAAAGAGTCTTATATAATCTTTTTAAATCCTTAAATACCCAGATACCTGATGTCACACTGAGGAAAGAAAACTGCAGCAGGAAGTCCATTTGATGCTGGCTCAAATCGAAAGCCCACAGACATCAAGACATCCTTCCACCCAGTTGTATTGCCGACTTTGTTTTCTATACTTTTCTGAGTCGTGTACATTGCATTCTTCTGACCATTATTAATTCGCTGGAGGGATTTTTCCACCTGAAAAAATAAACAAACATTTGTTAGATCACCTCAAGACATTTGTATTTTAAAATTAATTAAATCACAAAATTATAAATAAATGAATCCTGAATGACGTACCAAATGAAGACTGACTCGCAAAGCATCTCTGGACCGTTCAGGAGTCTTCATTAATTCCCGCATTGCTTGGCTGGTTAATGTAACTTTGTTTGATAGCTGAACATCAGACCCCAGCAGCAGATAACCAGCCCAATTGGCAGGATGAGCAAAATGTTTAGTGTGTTGCACTGTTAACATGGCTTCAGTTAGAGCATGGCTAACTTTGGACCCTTGGAGTAAAGAGGAGTACAAGGCACGGAAAAAGATTTTCGAAGCTGTCTCGGGAACTGGCCACAGTGGGACTAGAACGGACAAGGCACCCGCAGCGAGCAACGCCTTGGTCAAAGCAATGACATTGTCCGCATTAGCCATCTTGTCCCGAGTGTGACAGGAACTGAGGACAACGAGTTTCGCATTCAGTCGGAGTTTTAGAATATCCGCTGCAGTCAAAAGGTAGTCTGAGAATGGTGGAAGTTCCTCGTTGTCATCCCTTCCTCCTCCGTCAGAAGAAGAATTTATATGATTTTTTGCGGAGTCACCACCATTGCCACCGCTATTGTTGGATCGAGAAGTCCCACTTGGAGGTGAAAGTACAATGGCTGACAATTTCCAGGAAATATGAGTCGCCAAATGGATACATTCTGCATTGCAAATTTCGTTGAGAATGCTTTCCTTTGTGGCTTTGACCCCGGTGAGTGGTTGGCATTGTAAGATTTCAGAAATCATGTTGGCTTCATGCTGAGCTCTTGGAATGTCTTCCCATCCCCATTGCTCGGTAATGGCTGCAGAAAGCGTGGGGTTTCCCACGACGAGTGGAATGCTGGTCTCGGTTTTTGACTTGCATCTTCCACCACTCCGAATTGATGAGATGGATGGAGCGAGGATAATTTTGAACTTTTCACATAAATAATCTTCGTTAGTACAGCTCCTCAAAATTGGGAAGGGGACGAGCAGAAGGTCAGTTTCCAGGACGAGGACCAATTCTTTGAAGCAAGTCTGGTCAAGGACGCTGAGTTCTTCTTCGAATGGAGCAATGAGCATTTGATACAGAGAACGGAGACAGGAAGGTCCCTGCCATGAACTTCTTGAGCGTGAGCGTGTGGAACCTGCTCTGCTAGTTGATGCACTTTTCACACTTCCGGTGGCACTTCCCACACTAAACAAGCTTGACAAGCTGTAACTACTGCAGTTGAAGCGGTGGTTCCGACTGACCATTCTGAGAAATAAATATACAACATATTATCTATAGAAATTGCATAGGATTACGTCTTAGGAAAATGAATACACTTTAGAATATATAAAAATATACCTGAGAAAACCAGTCTTGTCATTTTCTTGGTTTAACTTGTCACCTAATTCTTCAAGGTGTTGAGACCACAAGTCAGCCTCCCCTTCAGCCGACTCACCCACGCACTGGTTTGTACTTTCGGAAGCATTAAAATCTAGTCCTAGGGCTGTTCTTGTGCCTTCTATGTAGCGTTCCAGCAGGGTGCCCATATTTGTCACTCCGTCGGTATCACCTTCATCGTTGCCAATGCAGGACTCGTTAAATTTGACGATCCCTTTAAATAAAAGCATTACCATTTAAATTACTTAATCAGTATTACATAATTCCACATGTGATGTATACACATGTGTTGGAGAAAGTAGATCATAACAAATACCGAGTCTTAACATTACGTTGAATGTTTGTGCAGAATATTTACCTCGTTCAGGAATAAGCAACCAGGAGTAGAGGTAGCCTCCGGAAATACTAAAATACAGTACGGCCACTCTGTGACGATTTACACGCTGAATGATCGCATCCACACTATTTATTAGACTGCTTGACAGACTCGCCATGGCCAAAGGGTCCCCCGGTATGTCCCCATTTCCAACAAATTCTCCCTTGTTGCTCAGCAATGTCGAGTTGGCCAGAGTTCTGCTCTTTTCGGCGAAAAGCAGGGTGAGATCAGTGCGGCCCATTTGGACCAAAATCCTCTGAAGTGCTTTGTACGAAGCAATTTGTTGATCGAACAGAGCCAAAGAGTATTCGCTTCCTGAACCGTACGTGTTTTGTCGAATTGTCTCCAAAAGGTCAGACGACTTTTCGAGGTGTGCTTGGGCCGATTCGAGATCACCATGTCGCCAGAAGGCAAGTCCCAAAAAATGGCGAATTTGGGCCTCTTCTTCCTTTGCGTCCAACATTTCCACTAATTGCAACCCTTGCTGTAGATTTGCTACGGCTTGGATGTTATTCCCAAGAGCGTGATGGATCCTCCCTGTAAAATAAATGGATATGGAAACAATAAAATATTAGACAGCTCAATTGCATGCAGTTTTTCGTACGATTAAAAATTCTGCACAAAAATACCTATGGAGCTGAAGGCGATAGATTTCGCCAAGTTATTGTCCGTCTGCATGGCAGAATTCAAGTGATGCTCTTGATATAGCAAACCCTCCTCAAAGTTCCCCATGGATTCATGCACCAAACCGATATTCCCGTAGTCCCTCACTTTACCTCCCACGCTGCCGAGTTCCGTGGAAATTCGGAGGGCAAGTTGATGGTATTCGAGAGCTTCGGCATATTTGCCCATGACTTGGAACACTCTTCCCAATAGCGAAACCGCTTCAGCTTCCATCTCTTTATCTTCAACATCTTTGGAAATGGATAACTGCTGTTGGAAGCAGCCGATGGCCTGTTCAAAGTTCCTAATGTCTAGATAACCGAGACCAAAATCGGACAATGCGGCGCCCTTGAGTCGCATCAACTCGTCGTCAATTATTACCGTCCCGTCACTTCCACTATTGTTTGATTCACTACTAGAGCACTCACTAAGTAAATGGTTAATAATTTCTAAGCGTTTCTCGAAATAGACGAGGGCAGCAGGTGTATTTCGCAAGGATTTACACGCCGACCCAAGTGATCTGTAAGTCTTCTCCTGTTCCCGCAAATTGTTGAGTTTCGTTGAAATTTGCAGGGATTTTTCATGCCGTCGGATGGCTTCTTCGTAGTCACCAAGAGCGTTGCAACATTCTCCCAGGTTCCCATACGATCTGCCTTTCTCTGCAAGAATTAATAGTGTGGTTTTCGTCGTGGAAGAAGACAACGAGTCTAAAATGGCAAGTTGAAGCTCGAAGAATGTTGCTCCTTCCTTATAGTTCCCCAAATTAATTCTACAAATTCCCAAATTTCCGTAGGATTGGGCTTCGGTCATTGAATCTTTCAGTTCTTTGGCACGATCCAGCATTTCCTCGTAACACTTAATTGCTTGGTTGTAATGCATGCTGGCAGATGCTAGAAAATAAAACAAAATATATACGTTACGAATGACTGATAGACTATAATTCATCCTATCGACGAACTGAAATTCTAAGTAATATTCTCACCAGCTTCACCAATTGCACTTGTATAATTCCCGAGAGACATATGCACTCCCCCCAAATTTCCGTGTGCTCTGCATTCGCCTTTGGTATCACCTATTTCCTGGACTATTGTCAGTTCCTGTTACACGAAATAAGAAATACGTTATACAAAATTTTTATCATCAGAAATTGTCATTCTGCTATGTTTGCAACCTAATATTTCCTGAAAATATATTTTTATTCGAAATAAAAAATCACCTGAGTGTGGAATCCTAGAGCAAGATCGAATCTCCTGAGAAGTGTATGAGTACTTCCCAAGGCACCGTAAGCACTGGCCTCCAAAGTCTTGTACCCATTCGTTCTTGCGAGCAGCACTTGCTTTTGAAACACTTTGATAGCCTCATTTTCATTTCTCATTTTCAACATAATGTTCCCAATATTCCCCAAAGCTCGGTATTTTCCTTGCATATCTTTCGTGGAATGGGTCACTGTTAAAAAATACTTTTGACACTCGAGCGCCTCCTCCAAGTTCCCCACTGATAAGTGAGTAAGCCCCAGATTGCAGTAGGCTCTCGCTATGCCTCCCGTATTCTGCAATTCTTTTGCTAAACACAAGTCTTGGTTGTAGTATCTCACAGCCTCCTTGAAGTTGCCGAGTGAGTAGTGCGCAAACCCCAAAAAGTGGCACGCTTTTGCCTCCCCCTCAACATCGTTGAGCTCTTGGGATAGCATGAGGTACGTTTCGTAGAAGGGGATCGCCTCTTCGAAATCTCCCAGCGAACTGTGACAATTTCCCAGGTTGAGCAACGCACATGCTTCTCCACTCGTATCCTTCAACTCCCTCGAGATGTTGAGATGACTGTGGTAATGGACTAGAGCTGCGCCACACATTCCCATCCCTTGGTACCCCACGGCCAGATTTCCATGAGTGGAAGCTTCCGAACTTCGGTCATTTACCTCCTTAGAAATGGCCAACTCTTGTTTGTGGTACTTAATCGCTTGGTCATATAGTTGCATGGCATTGTAGGCATTCCCAATGTTCCCATATGCTCTCCCCATCCCTGTACGGTCGTGCAGGGAAGAAGAAATGCTCAAATGGGACTGGTGAAGTTTGAGAGCGGCGTCATGATCGCCAAGGAGCTGAAAAACAATTCCTAGATTGGAACACGCCCTTCCTTCGTTCACCTTGTCCTTGGTCGCGAGGGCGATGTCCAATTGCTTGGCGTGCCACATTTTGGCTGAGGAGTAGTCACCCTTACATCTCGCCGCGTGACCTAGGCCGGCATAAGCTCGTGCTTCAATGTTCTTGTCGCCAAGCTCTTGAGCAATTTTCAGCACGTGATTGTGAAATGTGATGGCTTGGTCATAGTTTCGTCTGTAGTGGTACGAAGAACCAAGGTTGCTGTAGGCACGAGCTTCTTCAGACTTGTTTTTCAGTTGGTGTTTGGCAATTCTGAGGTGCTCAGTGTGACAGTCGATTGCATTGGAAAACTCCCCCATGACCATGTAAACGGCGCCCACATTGCCGATTTCTCTGGCTTCCTGGAGCAGATCCCCCATTTGTTTTACTAATTGGACACACTGCTTGTGAGACGCAAGGGCGTTCGAATAGTCACCTATCGAAGTGTACACGTGACCTGGAGAAGGAATTAAAATAAGTGTTTTACATACGGAGTAAAATTTGAAGTAAATAATCCAATAAAAAATGCAAATTACCCAAACTGGTGAGTGCTGAAGTCGCAGCCTGCGTGTCTTTGCACTTCATGGCGAGGACGAGTTGATATCGGTGAGAAGTGAGGGCATCTTTGAAATTGGACTGGGAAAAGTAAGCCGATCCCAAATTTCCATGTGCGCGACACTCCCCAGGAACATCTCCAAGCGATTTGGCCACAGCAAGGTCCTGCTGCATATAGTTAATTGCCTGTAAAGTACAAAAAGCATACGCATCAGTAAATGCTTACGATTTCCTCTACGTTCTACACAAGCAATTAATTGTCAATTTATCACCCTTATTTACTCTCTAATCACAATCACAACCAGACACTAAATACTAACCAGTGAGCCTAACATAATGAGCCAGAACTACAAATAATACGCAATTTCTTTTATGTCAATATATTATATTGGATTTAAAAATCATTAAACTAAATAATAATCTTTTGGCTATCAGTTGTTGTGAACATTCCAAATAATAATTTTAATAATTCCTAACCAGTCCATACAAGACCTGCGCTAGTAAATAAATGCAAACCTCAATTATTATCAGTATTCTTGTGTCATTGTTGTAATTCTTATAAGGTGACAGCTCGAATACTGACACGTTAATAATGGACCAACAAGAAGTGATCCAAAAATTGCATGTCATACATATGTAGAACATGTTAAGGTGAACCCAATACATTCTGTCAGGAGGAGAACGAGGTGATGACGATGACATAATAAAGACCCTTGTCGTACCGGTTAGTTTTAGCATAAACTATTCAACAAAAGCATAAATACCAATTTAAACCGAGCTTAGCAGGGTTTCTGTTTATCTCTTCACCCTTCGTGATAATGATATCAATGTAATAATGTTTATACACCCGGTGACAATGTTGCAATTATTTTCTACCAAATTCGCCGTTTGAATTGGGAAAAATTAGAGCTGATCTGAATTGAATGCCTTCAAAGTATGTTAACTTTTAAAGAGAAATGAGAAACCTGTTTTCTTTGAGCATGTAAAGTTCTATTTGCAATTCATTAACTTGGTTCATAACCTAATCTAAGGAGGGGAGCTTGCGAGGTTGATAATAACAGATCCTGATGCCCTTTGGATATGTGGTAGGGTCCCATGAGTGTACTAGAACCCTGAAGTGGTTTGACTCCATGGCCACATTTGCGCCCGCCACACCCACTCAAAAATGCCCAAAAAACGCTTTCACTCGAGTTTTCACTCACTCAAATCCACGTCAAAAATCCAATTTTACTCGGATTTTGAAATTTCTTTCACCATTACACTCCCAGATAGTTGCTTTCTTCAATCCAATATCAAACTCAATATTTTCGAAATTTTTAGTATTTTTAAAATTTAAAATTCTGAATGAGCATTGTTGTAGTAATCAACAACGCAAATTATCCCTGCGAAATAATCATCAGCAAAATTGAGTTTGATATTGGATTGAAGAAAGCAACTATCTGGGAGTGTAATGGTGAAAGAAATTTCAAAATCCGAGTAAAATTGGATTTTTGGCGAGGTTTTGAGTGAGTGAAAACTGGAGTGAAAGCGATTTTTGGGTATTTTTGAGTGGGTGTGGCGGGCGCAAATGTGGCCATGGAGTCAAACCACTTCAGGGTTCTAGTACACTCATGGGACCCTACCACATATCCAAAGGGCATCAGGATCTGTTATTATCAACCTCTCAAGCTCCCCTCATGAACATGGTACAGGTATTCATGCGTCTAGTGGGCCAATAATATCAATCAGATATTGTTGCAATATTTAATGCATGTAAAACGTCAAGTTTTGATCGATTTAATTCTATGTAAATTGTAAAATTCAAATGCGATTATATTTCTACAATCGACACCGAGTAGCACTTGTACTTCTGTATTAATCCTGTGTCAGTGCAATTAATGAAGAAATTTGTTGTACAAAAATTAAGGTGAATAAATTAAAATTGCTAATTTGCTGTTACATCGTTCTCAAGGTGGAACATTAAGTAAAAAGAATTTGCGGAATACGTAATGAATTTTGACTAGACTGCATTAAGTGCTTCCTTTATATTTATGTAAAATTTAAATTTACTTGAAACAGTTTTGGCGTTATAGTTTGTAGTATCGTTTTTATTAGAGGATTTACACAATTTTAGAGCCCATTAATGTTATCAGTATGTAAATAACCTCATTTCTGCAACATCTCTTAATCAAAATAAAAAAGTAGATCGGCAAAACAAGTTTCAATATTTGCTTATTGTTTAGTTTAGTTGATTGTCCTTCTTTTATATTTTAATCAAAATCCAAATGTCGGAATGGCTATAAAATTCATTATCGAGTCAGAAATGGTACTAGTTGTAATTTAATACACATATCGACACAAGTAGGCAGGTGGCTGCTTATTAACGTTAGATCCAAATTAGCAAACGACGTATCTGTCGCTTGCTAATTGACGTTCTAGCGAAAGAAATTGTGTTTGATTTTGTCTAATTTGCATATGCCAGAATCCATAATTTCTTGATCGCTACATGCAAACTAACGTTTCGGCGGCCTGTGCTCAATTAAATATTTATAGTCAATTTTTCCAAGTTTTGACTTTCATTGTATTAATCTTTCCTAAACTTTTACTGTACTTTGCTAATCAAACGACAGGTTTGACCTGTGTGTGCATTGCTATAGAATGAAAATTCATTATTAAGTCACCCAGCATTTTATTGTCATCATAAATTTTCTCAAAATTGGGCCGCAGAGCACTTAATTTCATGGGCCAAGTCGTTAAAGACCACTACAAAACGATTGTCTTATAACAATCTTGCTTAAATTGCTTACCTTATCAAGTGAGTTGAGCGTCCAGAAGGCAGAAGAGAGGGCCGAGTACACCGACCCCTTCAATTTCGCATTGGCAGTGCCAATCTTAAGGGCACTTTCCAGCACCACGACGGCTGCAGCGTACTGACTGGAGGCCAGAAGCTCTTGACCTATCACGGAAATGACGACGAATGGTGACTGCACCAACTTCATGGACGCCAGCTGCTCGAAGGTGGGTTCTAATTTGGCTGCAACGGGAAAGAAGAGTCAATTTTTAACTTGTATGTCTCAGCACTAATAAGTCACACCGGGAAGTAGAGAGACATGGTCGTAAAGAAATCTTTGATAATAAATTAAAAGTTTTAGTTTTTATGGTTGTGCTCATAAGATAACTTCAGATGTTAATCGTCCATTGTTTCTGGGCTATTGAGTGAGTGTCAAGAAAGAGGTGAAACCAGGTCGTAACTTTTGTTTCATTCCGCTCTTCTGTGCCATCCATATCTATTTAAACGTGATAAATAAGTAGATCGCTAAAGTCATTCTTTATCGAATTTGTAAAAATGCTTCACAAACAACAATGAATTTCCAAATGCAAGTGACGCTTCCAAATTCTTGTAGGAAAAAAATACTCCTAATTTACATGAAATTTGAATGTGTAAAACAAGGCTGGGGGAGCAGATAGACCATTTTTGGGTGTAACCTATCGTCATTGTGCTAATGTTGGATAATTCTCCACTAAATAAAGTCAGAGCTGGTAAAAGTCACGCATAAATTTAATAAAGAATGAGACAAAGACACTTTCAACCTCAATTTTTAAGGGGTGCATTGCATTGCATCTTGCTTTCGTAGTTCGTTGGTGGTGCTCTTATTCAATTACTTGTTACAGGACCAAATTACAATACTTTGCAGTGTTTCTTATAAATTTAAATTTTAAAGAATGACCAAAATTTCATAATTTATTTGACACAATAACGGCAACCCGCAAAGAATGGACATCTATTCTGATAAAAGAAAGTCTTAACAAATTGCACCTCAGCAAAATAAGTATGATTTTGCTCAATAAGTGTCCAATTTCCCATGATGATGATGACGACTACAAATGATGAGCATACTCATTCTCAATGCTTCAAGTAGACCCAAACAACCACAAATACACGCGAATAGTACACACCAATAATGTCAGACGACCTAAGGAGTGCGTGGCAAGTAACGAGTTAGAGAATTACGACGATAAGTATGTAAAGACAGTTGGTTTTGGGAGGAGCAGATTTCCATATTGGATGCCAACCTATCTGAAACATTCAAAAAATTCCTCACCTCCATTCACTCAACCAAAAACAAGCGCATCATTCTCGAAGAATGAATTTATTCCATGTGGCCAACTGACAACGGTGGTGGTGGTGTGTTGATAACAACAGGATTACCATTTAAAACCTTCATGTGGTCTCTCCAAGCTACGGAATTCGATTTAAAGGTTCAGTTATGTGGCTCTCTATTCCTTCCCGAACACTTTGCACATAAATATGTTGCTCAGATTCTAAAATTTATCAAAAATTCTGAAATAAAACTGGAATTGAGCTGGTAAATATGGTTTTACAATTGTCCGTTCCTCAACTGTCTGAATGCAAAAGTGATTGACAAACTCCGATAAGTGCTGGCTCGAATAGTATGTAAAACTCAATCCAACTTTGAAACTTTGAAAGCCTCTCGATCGAATGTGAGATCAGTATCAATTCAAAAATTAAGTTGGGCATCAACATCTGGTGAATCTCTCTCTCTATCTAACTAACCAGTTGATCATTCCTGTCCTTTCCCCTTATAAGGTCAGAATTGTCGAATATTTGAATATTTTGAAGATACAGTTGATCCTATCATGAGGAATGGTGCAACGATTCCTGCCACGCTATGTTGTCGGACATTCTCATTTCTTCAAAATTTACAGGCTCACAAGACAAGAAGAAGAATTTCATCTCGATTTTTGGAATAGTTTTATTACACACCCTCAAAAGCAGCATCTGAATTTGTGATAAAGAAGGCAATTGTAGGTTGGCACTGCTTGTTGGCTCCACAAAAAAAAACTATTCATTGCATTTCAGTTTTTCATGCACTTCTTTGAAGAGTTTGGTATTTGCTTTCACTAATTGAAAAATGAATAACACTTTAAATACGTGTGCATTCCTCTGTTTCCTGCAAAAATGTGTTCTCGAACTTGAATAATTAGAATTTCTGTATGCGTTGCAACTAATCTACTGCCATAATTTCGCCGAAAAGTGAGCCACACAATTATGGTGGCAGGAAATGCAGACCTACTTAATAACCGTTGTTTTGTCACTTGACAGTTGTCAGCTTTTCTTTCTCCGTATTTTATTAAAGTCGTTAACTTTGATTTAAAGCTACTCAGTCACCACAGGTCGTGTCGTGCGATAAGAAAGATGTATATGGAGTCCGGATGTGGATCCCACACATTTGTGAGGCAGACCCACCAGAGTGGGGCACGGGTCGACAACAGAGATGATAAAAGAGGGCGAATCTCACACCAAATCGAGACAACGACGCGAGGCAATGCATCACTCGCTGGACTCTCTTTTCTAAGTTTTTTTGTGGTCACCAATTTACTTTGGTTTTCCAATGGTATTTTTATAAGTGACCAGAAGGGCACACATTTGAGCGATGAATGGATTATACCTTCGTGAGGGATGCACATGTGTAATTTGTTGACACTTTTCACTTTAAGGATAGCTTAAGTGCATGATTAATGTGCCTTCCATCCATCTACCCTTCTCTATCTCTCCACATTCTTTCCATGAATTTCCTCAAATGTAGAAATGAAAGATAAAGAAAGATAATCGCAACAGTTTTCTCTTCACATATGTCTTCGTTTTTTCGATGTACATACCTTTTAATGGTGACTTTATGGCACATTCCATAAGTCCACTCAGTAACTGGGAGGATTTGGGATCTTCTGCGAGACCCGCACTGAAGGCTGCCAGTCCGTCCGAGTGTTTTCCGAGACACTGCAAGGCAACCCCTTGGCGATAGTAGGCCTGCAACGAAAGACAATTTTTGAAAATGCGTACATTTCTTAATTCTAGTGCACTTCAGGATATACAAGTGCGCTATTATTGATTATATTGTATTAAATCAAACATTACTACATTATTTGGAAAAATTGTGTGGAAAATAATGAGAAAATTCCAAAAACTGTACGTTAATTGGCATGACATACTATAAGCACGGCTCACAGTTTCAGATTTAATCGAATCTGCTGGATTCTCACCTTGGGCCATTTTGGATTAAGATCTTTGGCTTTCATTGCGTCGTCCAGAGCTCTGACGAATTGACCCATTTTGATGAGAGCGGCGGACCGGTTTGAATACAGTATATGATTGCTGGGGTCAATTTTTAGGGCGTCTGAGTAAAGGGCGACGGCAGCAGAGAAGTCACCATTTTGACAGGCGACATTCGACTGACGGACTATTTCGAGGAACATTTTTCGTCGGCTTGTGGGTGCGGATGATGATGATGATGATTGAGGATTAGAAATTAAGGAGCGTGACATTGCTGAGGATGAAGGACCCGACCCTACTTCAGAGTCTACCTGGAAATAGAGAAAAAACAAATGCGACGTTAATGGCTGTTAATTAGTCTGCAATTAGCGATTAGCTATATAAACACAACACATAAATTATTTGGTGACATGTCGACGGACGAGTTTTATCTCGATTTCCTCTAGTTTAAGAATTTTAATGTATTTTAACAAATAAAGGACCAATAGGCTGTGCTTAAAATGGGCTGCAAGGATTATTTTTATGATACTTTGCAATACTTATAGCTTAAGTTATGCATTAACATTACGCATACCTGGAGAAATTAAAGCGTATGGTTTTCTATAACATTTGGATCTTACGAGCATTTGTACATTTGTCTGTTTACTCGTACTCGTATAATGCGTACTCATCTCTTATCATAAATTTGGACGGAAAAATGGCCAGCAAAGAAACATTCATAAATTTCTAATAGAAAACAACACGCGAAGTCGCCTTTCATAATCATGTATCAACCTTATATAAAAATAGTGGAGGACTGGACTGGACTAGAAAAATTCAAACCAAAAACTAAATGACTTCAACAGCGTCCCCTCCACAAACCATACCCAACAAACAATTCAAGCAATTAAATGAAAATTTCCACACATGAGACAAAGAAGGATAAGAAAAGCTTTAGCGAGTGGACCAAAATTCCGTCTGGATGAGGAGGACGGGACATCAGCCCTTCCCTGACTTTCCTGGGTTCCTGATAAAAAAAGGTGCACTTGGATCCAGGTTGACAAAACTTGAATGTTCTTCGTCTACTGCTGCTGCTGCAACCAACCTAATCACACATGGCTGACCGAACGACAAACTAATAAATGGCTAAATGACACACATTAAACACATTAGGAGATATATATCTCCTAATGTATTTCTATATAGAGATAGCCTAAGTACCGATTTCTAAGTTTGGATCTGGAATCTTGCCTTGCTCATCTCATCCGTGGGATGAATTGTGGGTATTTTTCAGGCAAAAGTTCACATGAAATCAAATTTTTTAATGGACTCTCGTTGTGAGTTCCTTCCTCGCAATGCTCAATTCCGAAAATGTGATTTTCTTGTATCGTGTCACTCTGAAAACTTTTCACTCTGACGGATACACACATTCAACCAACAATGACAATGAGAAAAAAATCGAAAACATGAGGATCAACTGAAGAAGAAGAAGAGATGTATGTGATGAGATGATGATGGCCTCTCGCCGACAATTGTCAACGGAATTGACAAAGCAAAACACTTATCCAGGGGATTATCTTTCTCCTTTAGCATTTCTCGACGTGCTCGTAGCATAGTGTTGAACATTTTAGCTCTCTTATTCTCCCACTGATGAGTGATCTCTTACAAGAAAAAAAAACAAATATTTGACATATTTCCCGTAATGGAAATCTCATGATTATTGTCTGTCAAAGTTCCAAAAAACGTATCACTATTTGTATTTATTCAATAGTCGGCTAACTGTTTGACTACGTAAAGCGGACTTACTCGCATACTTATTTTAAACTTTACAACTTATTTATTCTACTAAATAGTTATTATTGCCTCCCTGAGTCATTTACATATTTGAATACTTTCTCAAAATTATGTACAAATTGAGTCCACACAACGCAAGTTATTCGAGAATTGAGGAAATCCCGAAGTGCTGGGAGTGTACAAACGACAACCCTTCTTCAAGGCATGTCTTGACAAAAATAAAAACAATCAACCTTGACCATCTCGTTCATCCCTTATTATTTTATTGTATTTAAGGAAGCCAGCATACATTCTTATTATCCAAGCTGCCCCTGCATGTGTCGAGAGAATTAAATGGTGGGCACAGGTGTTGGACCAGTTGATTTGCTCGCTTGTTGTTTTATAAAACTTGAATATACAAAGGTATCAATTGTTTTATGTTGTTAAATTGAATCTCATGCATGGATGGCAAGGAAATCTGGTATAAAATGCAGGCCTAGCACGACACTCAATGGGCATATCTATAGAGGAATTGATGTTGTTATGATTGGGAGAAAAACTGGTTGAGGCGTTGTCATCCAAGTCTTAATTCTCGGTTTTTTGTCACCTCTTCTCCTTATCCTTCTTCCTCCCTGACTATGTTGAGAGTGAGTGGGCGAGAAGAAGGAGACTCGTTGTGAATTAAACCAACACCAAAAAAATTCTCCAAAGTCTTGACCAGCAAACAACCAAGTCAAAAATCAGTTTTACTCAACCATTCCATACATAAATACGTCCTTAATTTAACCATTTCGTTATTCAGGGATGGGAGAGGTGACCGTAAAATTCCAAAGACGACGATGAATGTGTATGCAAAACATTGACAACTGCCAGCAATATAAAATAATGACTGGATTATTACCTCATACTCTCCATTGTTAATTTATTAGAGATTACAACCCGCATAATAATATCAATCTCATCAAATCTCCATCAACACCTAACCCACTTGCAAATTATGTCGTAAAATTAATCCTCCCATGTTTGGGAAAGGATTTCATAATAATTTCCACCGACTTGATCATTCCTTTTCTTGTGTGTAGTGTCACTTGTCGTGATCATTTGATAAAAAACGACGGATATTCTGTACAAAAACGTTGTCGCAGTTCAAAATAAATAGAACAAGTCTTGAAATTACCAAAACAAATACGTTCGTACAATATCGCGTAAAAAGTAACGATCATTTGATACGCCAAGAATCAGTGACAGCATAATAAAGCATTCCTGATTCTTCATCATCATCGTCTTCAGAAAAAAATGCACTGCATGTTGTACCCTCGCTTTTAAATATATTGCTGACATATATGTAGCTTGAGTAGGCTTACGCTATCATTATAATTCTTGCGGAGGTGGAATCGTCGGTCAAAGTGGAGACACGACCTGGAATAATGGTGTGAGTCCACTCATGTCTGTCATTATTGTCCTTGTTGCCCTTTGTTTTCATGCGCAACGTTGGAACAAAACATGACCAATACGCTCTATAATTATCATTAACAACGGTGAGGTCTGCGTAGGTCAATCCCAAAGTCGGTGCAGCAAGTAAGCATGTACTCGAGTGTGGTGCAGTTAATGGTGGATGGATAGGTCGCATAACTCGAACTCATTTCATCGTTAATGGTGCCTTATTATTATTACCTTTGCTCAACCAAGCAGCAAGTTTGTTGTATTATTTTCATGTCTGCCTCAGCCTGCCAGTCATTGTTTTCTGAGTGAGTGAAGGTTTCTTCGATTGGGGGAAACAGAATGGAGAAAGACATTATTTTTTGGGTTATATATTTCCTTCGCGTGTCTACTGATGACGATTAGCTTAAAACTTGAAGTATCAACAATGAGCTAACAATGAGCTTTCCATTTTGGAAAACCTTACAAGGACATGATGTGTCCCCTCTTCTTTGGACAATCTTTTTGTTAGTGGAAGGGTAATTTGTAATTAAAAAATGTTACGTAAAACTGCTAAAGCGTGATGTTAGAGTTAGGCAGATGTGACTGACTTATTTATGAGGATCACTATACTTTAAGTATTTAAATAATTTTAAAGGAGTTAAAGGATCGAGTGTCATTATTATTATTATTATTATGGCAATAATTGTTAATTGTCCAAAGATTTATGCTCACAACACTACATTTTACGAATCAATAATATTCTTTCAAAGAGAACTTTGAAAGAAACGCGAGACGAGCGGTTGGGTAGTAAAAGTGTGGAATGGCAAAATTGCTTTCTGGGGTACAAATTCTTCTTCGTACTTAAAAAATCAACGCTTCCTCCCGAGTTATTACAACTACTTAGGCACGTAATTAGCTAGGCAATTGGCAAATTATTAGTGCATCCCTTAACTCCAGAGTTTATTTTACGACTTTCCAGAAATAATTAAACTCGGGCTAATAGAAAAAAAGTCGAGTAAAACCATCCACCAGCGTAACATTTCATACACACTCCTGCTCCTTCTTTAAGATGTATTAAAGTTCAAACTGCCGGTAAACTATGTATGTTCTACATACACCTTGGCCTCAGAAGTAAGGCAACAACTGACTTTTCAGTAGTAAATATTTATGTAAGTGGACGAACCTTTACAAAATAGCTAACTGAAACTACTAAAACTCGTTTTCGAAGCATCATATGTAGTAAACTGTGAGCACTTTATCTTGCATTAACAAGAGGAAAAGAGAAGGATGGCAATGTCAGAGTAATTAATATTTCCATAATTGAACGCAAGATCATTTATCGGTCCATTGAATTTGGTAAATTCACGAGTAGTTTAAATTAACTTTAGCACAATGACCCAACACTTATCTTCTTATACAAGAGTTATTAGAGGCTGTTGCATAATAAACCCCACTCCCACAATTATTACATGCATCGCATCGCATGGCATTTTTATACTAAATGCGGAGGCCACGATTATACCCTCCTTTTAGCCCCGCTTGCCTGGTAGCATGATAGCTTCTTCATTGGAACAATCCCCCGACCAAATCCGCTCAAGGACTTAATAAGTTCCAGACATGCTATATTTAAGCAGCAACTTATTTAGTCAGTAAATTCATCAGGGAACAAAAAGTGGGTAAATTGTACTCTAGTCAGTCAAATTAAAAAACAATTTCTAGTCCAATTCTAGTTGTAAATTCCGAATGAGTTCCCTTTAGTGGAGGCTTCTTGTACCGTTTCTTTTTTTCGTATAGCTTATCCCGTACACGACGTATCACTCATTCGAATTCACTCACCACCACCACCAGCAACACATCTTCTCATGCAACATAACTCAACCCAGTGTGGACTTGGTCCTAAAGAACTTAAAGATGTGCAAGTACACCTTGTGGAGAAAAGGGCTCATCTGTTGAGTAACACCTTCTCCTCACTTTGAACCAAGGTCCAGTCCTCATGAGACAAGATTCATTTCCAGCAATAATTTATAGGGCCTTTGCCAGCTGTCATTTTTTCCACGCCGTGTGTAACTAACTACAAACAACTAATTCACGTTATTATGACTCCTTCGTCTTTGGTGGAGAGTTGAGATTCAAAAAC